CTATCACAGGAAGAGGAATTTTTCCTTTCTCGAGCTCCACTTTCAAAGTCATCAAATGCATCGTGATTATGACCAACTTGAAAGACATTAAAAATTTCCTCCTCCTTACCTACTCGGAATGTCAACTTCCCTCTCCCGACATCGATGAGTGCATCACCAGTGGCTAGAAAAGGTCTCCCAAGAATGAGAGGCACTCCCCGATCATCTTCCATCTCCAGAATTACAAAATCTGTTGGGATAATAAACTTCCCCACCTTCACCAATACATTCTCCACCACTCCCTTTGGAAGTTTCACTGATCGATCGGCCAATTGGAGAGTGATCCGAGTAGGCTTAAGAACATCTCCCAATCCCAATTTCTTGTAGACTGAGTATGGCATTAAATTTATTCCTGCTCCAAGATCACAAAGTGATTTATTGAACTCTGTACCTCCAATGACACATGGAATGGTGAAGCTGCCCGGATCATCCCTCTTTTCTGGTAATTTATTCTGAATCACAGCACTACATTCAGAAGTAAGGGTTACCTTCTCCAGATCAGCCCATTTGCGCTTCTTCGTCAGCAACTCCCTTAAGAATTTAGCATATGTAGGCATCTGTTCAAGTGCCTCCGCCAATGGTATGTTGATATGAAGTTGCTTGAAGATATTCACAAATTTCTTGAAGTTACACGGGCAGGTTCATAAGGCTTTACCTCTTCGCTCTTCAATTTTTCCACTTTTTGAGGTACACGGGCAGATTGCTTTTGCACAGGCAGATTGCATGCAGTTTGCCTGTGCAAGTCAGATTTTTCAGCTTTTGCACTTTCTTCATCCTCCATCTCTGCAGCTCCTTTGCCCTCCTTTTCTACTGGATTTTTCTTGCTCTTTGGATCCTCCAACTCCTTCCCACTCCTCAATGTGACTGCTACAACCATGGCATCCTTTGGATTCCTCTCGGTATTAGCCGGTAATGTCCCAGGAATCCTGCCTTGCATATCCGCCAGAGTTTGAGCCATCTGTCCCATCTGCCTCTCCATAGCTAGCATAGACGATTGTAAATTATTGTTGATGGCTAGCTGTTGAGTGACAAATTGATCCAGGCCCTTCAGATTATTGTCGGTTTTCTGCATGTGAGCCAGAAGCAATTCTTCAAGTTGTGGTTTCTTCTCTGGTTGAGGTGGAGGTTGTTGTTTCTGCAGGCTTGGAGGTGGAATGTTGAGAGCACTAGTTGGGTTGTTGCTCGGCCAGGAAAAGTTAGGATGCATCCTCCATTGTGGGTTGTAGGTATTTGAGTACATACCTCCCTGGCCTTGATTTCTCTGATTGTTGATATAGTGCACATCTTCCATCTGATCAGCCACCAGTGGACATAGATCCCTATGATGAGCACCTTCACATAATTCGCAATAAGAAACCTCCTCCTGTCTACCAATAGCCAACTTAGCCAGCCTTCGTTCGAGTGCATCGAACTTGGAGTCCAGCTTAGCATCAATCTTTGCTTCTAGACTTGCAACTCTGTCGATCTCATGCAAGCCTCCTCTCCTTCGAATGCTGGTCTCGCTACCCCATTCAGTATCTTCAGAGCATATCTTCTCCACCAGTTCATATGCTTCTGGTGCCTCCATTCTTGTGAAACCATTCCGGGAAGCATTATTCAGAGCATCTCGGAATTGTCTTCTGATTCCGTTAAAGAAAATGGAGATCACGTTCCAATCTTCAAGACCGTGGCTCGGGCATCTCATTAAAAGCTCCTTATAGCGCTCCCATGCCTCGGTCAGACTCTCGTCTTCAGCTTGTTTAAAAGTGACAATTTCCTCTTGCCTCTTCATTGCCTTGGCAGGAGGAAAGTACTTATCCAAAAAGGTCTTCTCAAGCTGACCCCATGTTGTGATGGAACGGGGTGTCAAGTTCTGGAACCAGTGTGATGCATTCCCTAGCAGAGAAAATGAGAACATCCGAAGACGGATGGCATCATCAGACACAGCCGGGCTCTTCATTGTGTCACAAATGCTTGCAAACCGGCGAATATACTCGTGAGGATCCTCACTGCTAGCCCCAGAGAAAGTATACCCATTGGTGATCATGTTGATGAATGCTGGGGTAATCTCCATGGTTGCATCCCCAGCCGGAATGACAACACATGAGGCTCGGGCCCCAGTCCTTCGATTCAGGCGAGCCCTGATCGAACGATCCTGTTCTGCCATGATGTCTGGCTCGATGATGCGCGGTGGCGGTGTCGGTGGTGTCGGGATGACAGGTGGTGAAACCTGCCTTCTCGGTTGACGATTCTGGGTTAGGGAAGGCCTAGAAGTTGTGGATGTGGTACGCTGCTTCCCTAACTTGACCTGCTTCCTGTTCTGTCGGCAGGTCTTCTCGATCTCCGGATCTAGTGGCAGTAAATCGCCGGTCGTCCTCCTAGGCATGCACGAGGAGGATAAACCTGAAAATTCTTCTGCACACTAACACCCAGATCAAAATAGTTCACTCACAAAAATCAATAAAAATAAGATATGGCAGTCCCCGGCAACGGCGCCAAAAACTTGATAGGGCAAAAGCGTATATGCCAATTTCCTATCTCGTAGTAAACCGGAAAGTCCGGGTATCGTCTCTCAGGGACTGGTACAACCTTAAGTTCTATCAATTTTATTGAGCAAACTATAGGTGAAAATGGTTTAATGAGATTATTAACTACTAGCAAAATCAACTAAACAAGCAAATTAAAGTGTCGGGTTTAAATCAATGGGAGAAAGCTCTGGGAGAAACACCGAGATTCACTACCTATCCTATCCAGATTAATTCACATATTCCAATCAATTTAATCCATATCTCTACAGCCAGGATATCACTACTGTGCTAGCTATCCCTGTCGGGAATTACTACGTACTAAACAATTAATTCAAATCCTAGTGTCGTAGCTCAATGAGTTAATTATTTAGCCTGAAGATCGATATCCCATTTAAGACCGCATAGTACCTTATTTAATCCACTGTCGCTTCGATAAGTTACTATGTCACATGAAATAGGTTCAGTTATTAGGGTTTCACTGTCGCTAATAACCTAATTAACTACAATTCAGTGTATTGGTGGCCAGTCAACACAAAGCATTAAGGAATTTCATGCAATAGAGATTGGAAGAAAAGAATTCTAAATCAATCCATCAAATCAAGAAATAACTACATCCTATAGTGTTTCCCCCAGAAATTGAAGTTTAGTTCATGATGAAATCAAAAGATGTAATCATGTTCATAATCATCATGTCACGAATCAAAACAAAGAAGAAAAAATACTGAAATTTTCTTCCCTGCCCTGCACTCGATCGCCCCGCGCCAGCTGCTTCTCCGCTCTGGTTGCGCGCGACTGCTCTTCTTTTCCCCGCTCCCAAGAATTCCGCCCTCCAGAGACCTATTCTCCTCAATTCGACTTCCGTCCCAAACTCTTCCCAAGCTTCCGTGTCCCAAAGAAAAGTCCTCCAGAATAATTCCCTCCTCCTTTTCCCCGGTCCAAGTTAATAAAAAGAATGCCCCCTCACTAATTAATTGCCAAAGCAAATTCCGCCCAACAATAAATTTCCGCCTGCAGAGAAAATCCGCTCCGCTTAGCGTGTCCAATTTCTCCAAATTAAATGGCCCAAATCAATTCCACCCGCCCAGCCAATTCCTCTGGGCCTTGGGCCCAAGTGAGTAGTCCACAAGTAATTCCAGTCGATTTATTGCTTGTGCACTCGCTCCTTTTTCGTGCTTTCTTCACCTATAATACATCAAACTCATGGCACTAGGCAGTAATGGTTTTTCAACCATTCTCGGGTTAGGGAGCCCTAAAATAGCACCAATTGGCTAAAACATACCATGAAATAATCACATAAAGTCCAAGAATCCGATATATTAAAGCCGAATATCAAATTATAAAACGAGCAATCAACCTTTGGGCGATTCAAAAAGATTTTATAATGACGAACTTCAACTTTAAAGCATCACATAAACATTAGTAGTCGAACTTGATTCAACTTGATATCTATAAACCTTCTGATTTGGCCACTTTGGTGACTAACAAATTAATCATAATATAGATATCAAAGTTAAAATTTAACTCAAGGCAAAACCATTTTTTTTCCTCACATACGTAGACCTTGTTTCTTTAATTGCTTAACATAATCATGATAATAGTCAATTCCATTTGAAGCAAATAGACAACAAATTAAAAGGGAAAAACCTACATAGTACATAGAAGCAAAGATGCCACTGCCATCCGTACTGAAAATTAGACACATATATATATGCAATATTAATCTTAGAATCACAGCCCATAAAGGTTAACAGATTAAAGCCATTAATTATAAAGGAGAAAGGCGGAATTGATTATAATCGGGGAGAAAGCTTGGACCAATTTGGATCCATTGTTAACAATTATATGGCGGTCTCATATACACGATGATGCAGCGGAAAACATACATAATCGAAAATCATTCATTCATATAAACCCTAAGGTTTTGATACCACATGTAAACATAAATCATAATAGCATGGATCTTAGAATTAGATGATTTCACAAATCGGTAATAGATCAAGGAAACCTACCTCGATCCATGACGAGAGCGGCGGCGGCGCTGGAGTAGTAATCACCGGAATTGAGTTTCTCCCTCTTGACCCCTTTAGGTTTTAGGTTTAGAGATTTCTGTGATGGCTTAGAAATTCTACATAATGGGTTGAGAGAGGACCAATGCTAGAGCTTCTTTATATAGACCCACCATCAAGGTATATTAGGAATTTACCTTTCATTAACCTAATCAATATAAGATTTACCTTATATATTAAACCATTAAGTGATAATTACACTTGGCCACAATTATTCCCTAGTGACCTACGGGAATTGGGCTTATAGATGATAGAGGACCACTCCCTCTGTGAACGGTAGAACCTCTACTTAACCCGGGTCGTGCTACAGAGATGGGACGATACCTTAATCGTCCTCAAACACTGTCAGGATTTGCGGCCATGGTCCGAGGAGCTTCAGATAATCATCATGTGCATCGAGGCTCTATCCTTCATGGCTTGCATGGAGATTCTTGACCCAGAAGGGAGGAGAGAGAAATTAGTTCTCACCCTTGAGACGTTGACCGGTCATCCATGGAGGTGTGAGAGAGTGAATGAGATTGCGGAGGTGGATGTCTGGATCAATGATCTCGTGGCTCTGCCATTCGAGTTCTTCAAGAGAATCATAGGGTCACTGAGGAGACAAGGGATGAAAGAAAAGTACGTCACTCCAATTATTGTGTTGTATGCAAGCAATTGGATTTTGTTCTCTAAGAGAAGTGCAGAAATCGACTAGAGCAGTTAGGGATGGCAATTTCGACCTGATCTGTTTTACCCGATCTGTTTGGCCTAATTTGGGCGGGTCCGACCCGCCCCGTAGGCGGGGCGGGGCAGGCATAGGTACCTCTCATCGACCCGACCTGCCCTGACCAGCCCCATTCTCTAGGGGTGTTCAAACGGTGTGGTTACCATGGTAACCGTTTTAACCAGTACTATTTGGATAATTTGGTTTGGTTAAAGTTTTTAGCTTGTTTGGTTTAGGTGGTTTGGTTTCAGACACTCCTAACCAGCCAAACCAAATTAACCAGATAAACAATTAGCCATATATCTAATATATACACATACTTAATACTTTGAATAACCACTCAAGAGTTGAACGTTCATCCCTTTTAGACTCATAAAATATAAAGCTTGATATTGTTCCTATAATGTATATTTGTATATGTAGAGTGTAGACCACAACATATGAACACCTAATTTAGATAAATCTCATACATATGTTGGACGAAAACTTGAAAGCAAGGTCCTTTTCAGCCTATGGAAATTGCTAAAAGACTAAGTCAATTCAAACAAACACAAAAATTCGTTAACCCATACCATTGTGATAAATTTTGGTTAGGTGAATACTTCTATACTAACCGTAAGATAATTGTCTTAGTTGCATGTATTTATGAAGGGTCAACTATAACTATGTCTTGATTGTTATGTTTTATTCATTATATCAATTGTGCATTGATAAATTAACCGAAATTTTCTCACTTAATGATAATGTGATTTTATATTGGTTAATCTGGTTAACCAATTAACCAAACCGATTAAACTTTAATTTGGTTATTTTGGTTGTTGTATTAGTTTGGACGGTTTGGTTATGATGTGTATTCCATGGTTAATGAAACTTAGTCTTATTTGGTTTGGTAACAACCATGGTAACCATTTGAACACCCCTACCATTCTCGACCTGTTCTTCCCTAAATTACATGCAATCTTAGTCAAATTACTTATGATTTTCCTCTTGTTACCTCATATTTTAGCTATAATAAAGTTTTAAATAAGTGAAAACCTCAATTTCTCTAATAATTTAACTACATTTTATCATATTATGGTTTCTTTTTTGGTATTTTAATGAAAATAACGAATACTTCTAATGCTTTTCACCTAAACTATATACCCATTGGGTTGACCTGCCCCGACCGGTGCCCCATTATAAAATACCCGACCAGGACTCGACCTGCCGCGGGGCGCGTATGGGTATCGAGATACCTGCCACGGGGCGCTTATGAGTATCGAGATACCGGCCCCGAACCTGCCCCATTGCCATTCCTAAGAGCAGCAATTCAGCCTCGATGTTGCAAAGCATTCTTGATCTACTGGCCCTGAGAGGAAGGGGTAGCAGAGCAGTGCCTATGGGATTCTATTTCACTTTGCTCTCCAAATCAATTGAACTCGGTCTGGGGAATGACAACAAGGCAAAACTGCAAGATCAGAGAGCTACTCTGCTGCAATTCGCTCAAGTGGAGGGGTATCTTTACCCCGAGAAAAGATCATCTGATTCATCATCAATCTCTTCCAGCGAGGAAGTGATCGTCATGGAGGAAATATTTTATGGATATGTGATGTCTTCGGCGAGCCATACTCCTTCGACAAGCGGTTCACTTGTTGCAGAGCTATGGAATTATTATCTATCTCACATCGTCTCTGATCCAAAAATGGAACCAAAAAGATTCACTGAGTTGTTAGAGACAACACCTATTTCTTGGAGACAAAGCCACGATCAACTCTACCGAGCTATCAACAGTTTCCATCAAGCGCACCAAGATTTAAACCACGACGAAAAGGCAGCAGTCTGCAAGTACCTCAACTGTCAGAAGCTCTCTCAAGAGGCGTGTGTGGAAGCAGTTCAAAACGATATGCTACCTCTGAGATTGATCGTCGAGATTCTCTTCATTCAGTAGCTCAATACCCACAAGGCTTTTAAAGAATGCTTAGAGTCATTCAGATATGGAGAATTCTCAGGAAGCCTAAAGAGTCAAAACCTGATAGAGAGTCCATACACTACTGATGGAGCACAAGAAACACTGAGCTTCTACTTGCGCAAGGAGCTTATTACCTCCGAGCTCTCACACAAGGAGTACGAATCCACGAGCTTTCGAATTCCAAGCCTCGAACAAGAACTTGTGTCCCTAAAGAAGACCATTCACGTGAAAAAATACTTCAATGGAGACAATATCTCTAAGCAAGAAGCAGAACCAAGCTGGTGAAGTTACAATCTGCATGAACTCTGTCAATTTGGCTTCACAGAGAAAGTATGCACGTAAGCTGCTGAATTTTTCCCAAGGATCAGCTCCTTTGGTAGTTGAAAATCAAAGCAAAAAATTCATCAATGTACTATAAGCAAAATATAGTCTTTGACACCTGTGAATCAAATAACGAGCAAAAAAAAAAAAAAACTAAATTTCAAGCGAGATGGAAAATAAAGTGTAAACGAATAAAGGCTTGGTCGGAGAACAAGATCAACTATCAGTTGCATGTACTCCATTCTTCCAACTGCCTAGTCTACAAAGGAACTCCATTGTCAAGACTCGAGAAACATTCTTTTCTCATGTTTGAAGCAAACTACTCTTGCCAAACAACAATAATAATAAGCATGGCAAGATTTCAACCATGTTGCTAAGGAACTTGGTTGTAAATGATGTCCAAGAAATTCAGAATTCAACAATTGATGGTCTAATCTAGAAAAGAAAATAGATGGCTCATACAAACAACCATAACATCTACAAAAGAACTATTCTGAAGACAAACACAAAATTATTGAATGTAGGCCAAACTAGGAGCAAGCATCTCTCATATTTCAGAATCCCGTATGGAACTCTTCTTATAATGCTAAGTGCCAGAACTTTCAAGCACCAACTAGATGTACTGGAGATGCCTGTTGTAGAAAATAAGAAAATGTATCATGTGACCAATTTGGTAAAATCAAACACACAGAAGAGATCAGGCGTACATAATTAACAACGATAAAGTTTTGCATAAGTAATTCACTTTATCTTATAAGTTTTGCAATTAATATCGTCAAATAAAGTTTATCTTACTAGTGAGAATTTTACATTATAATAATCTTAGAGTTTTCGGTTGTGTGTTCAAATCCTAATAATGATTATTTATATGTTTGATTCTTTTTAATCAGTGTTGAGTTTAACAAATAAAAAGTTTGAAATGCACGAGAATTATTTATATGTTTGATTCTTTTTAATCAATGTTGAGTTAACAAAATAAAAAACTTAAAATGCATGAGAATTGAGAAAGTTTGAAATTGTGAAGTAAAAGTGTATAATTTATAGTATTGATTGAGGATTTAAAAAGTATTTTGTTTTTATAGGGGTGATATAGGTTTATTTTTAGGTAGGGACCACTTAGGGGATTCGAAAATTGAAATCCGACCAAACATTTATGTAAACCGAGTTTTTGAAAAAGTTGAAAATTGTTGTTATAAATATAAAAATACAATCTATGATTTGTAGACTGTGAGCTACATATCTTTTGAGGACAATTTATTAGAACTGTCCCACTTTATCATAAGATACCAACATGCACGAGAGTCCCAAAAAGCAGGAAGGGAAAAGGTTTTGAAAGACTTATTTATCTTGAGTAGGGATGGGCATTCGGTCGGTTCAGTTTCGACCGAACCAAAATTATGAATACCCGGTCCCCAAATTCTTCCAAACCCCAAATCGAATTCGAACCGAATTATAATTCGGTTCGGTTTTATACACAAAACCGAAATTGAGAGGCTACTTGTATCTCTCACTTTTAAATTATTTTTCACCCTTAATATAAACAATAAATATGTAATTATATGCATCATCAATGATAAAATCAAACTTTTCAACACATAAGTAATAAAACATTTCAAATATTTAAGTCTAAAAACAAATACAAACATAAAAATCCACCATTTGAACTTGCAATTACAGTATTTTGGTTTTTCGGTCGGAAATTTGGAAATTCGGTTCGGTTGAAAGAACCCTGATTTCCGAAATATCCATATTTTTCTTCCAAATTCCGAACCGAATAGCATTAGTTCGGTTTCGGTTCGGTTTAATTCAGTTTCAGTTCGGGTTTACCGAAGCAGTTGCCCACCTCTAATCTTGAGGACAATCTATCTGGCTTGTCCCACTCTATCATAAGAAACAAACATGCACGAGAGTCCCAAAAAGGCGGGTATGGAGAATCTTTTAAAAGACTTATATATCTTGAGAAAATTTTCTCTGCCCTTTTAAAAATATTTTGAGGGTTTTTTTCATCCAAATTTCTCATTTATACCGAGTTTTTGAAACTTTAGCACACATTGGTTTGTTTCTTACTATTGTGATCGAGTAAGAGCAATTTACCTGGTCTTACCATTCACATAAGTGCCTCTTTGAATTCATTTTATTCTCCTCAATACTATGAGGGTCAATGCATGAAAGAGGTGTAAGAGCTGTATTTGTGCACCTTAAAGCACATTCTCAAGGTGAAACTTCATTTGATAGGGGATTGTACTGATAAACTACATCATACAGTCGTGATCCGACTCTCAATTGAATATTTTGTACCCTCATGTACAATGAATGACTATTGTCTCTCACGTTGAGCAATTTACCGCATACTTTATTTGTTGCGTCTGCGTATTTGACTTTGTCAAGTAGAATTATTACAAAAGTACAGTCCACCCAACTTAAAACATTTAAAAGCGGGAGATTCATTGGCATACTTGGAAAATCTTATAGGGCAAATGGAGTGTTGTATATAGGCCATAGCCTCCCATACCCTAGTCTCCCTAGATCAAGTGTGATATTTATGCTCAATCATTCAAAGTAAGATGTTAAATCGGATGTCGAGCTAGGGGATATAGTTAAGTTTAACAAAAGATTCAAAAATATATTGCAATTAGCACATAATATTTCATAACCTCGAACCAATTGTGGTGCTCGATGCACTCTTGGAGGTTTGACATTTTTTTGCATATGATAGAAATGAATGTACAAAAAATATTCTATGACTAGGGCGATCCTAATCATGCCCTCAAGAGGATTCCTAAAAAATTTGGTACTGTTGAACCCTTAGCTTCTCTAAAAATCCATCATACTGTGATCGAGTAAGAGCAATTTTACTCCAGGTAATGCCAAGTAGGGTGTTGCTAAACTAGACGAAAATATGCAAAAACATTAGCTTCTTCATTGCATGTTTTGTTCCTTTTTCTCTATATCATGGTTGTCAGGTCGGTGGAAATGAATGCCGACCATTGAAACTGTTATAGTCGGTGTTGGTTATGAAACTAACTAAAATATCACCGGTATGACACATGATCAATTTTCGTTCTTTAAACCAAATGACGAAATTAACACAAAAAAAACTGATTTATTTCATGAATTTAAAAGTTAAATATTGATGTTATTTGTTGGATTCAAGTATAATATTTGGGCCTTGACGTTAAATGTTGTATTTAAATATGAATATTTGTCATTTTATTAAATATGAACGTATATTGTAAATAGTTTGTCTTCAAATATGCTTAATTTGATTTGATGTTAATGATTTCTTATATCTTTACATATTTTGTCAAACCAATATGAACCGCATAAACGGATTATACTCTATTTGCACTATACGACTTGACACTTGCTAAACCGACACAACGATATAAACCTATTTGGCATCCTTACTGTTTACACGCAGATCTCAACAACACGTTTCAAATTGTGCGTGCTTACAAATTACCGTATACTAATAGTAGACTAGTACCACACTAAAAATCACTTGTGATATCATTCTATATTTTGAAAAATAGCTCTAATAAGAAGTTAGAATCAAGTACAAATTTCATCAAATAAGAAAATAAAAATCCCAACTACATAGGAAAAATCCTATTATCATTTCTGGTTTTTTTATTTTTGCCTCTCTTCTCCAGTTAAGTATAAATATGAGCAGACGGACCGAGGAAGAAGAAAGCTTGAAGAAAGCAAAGAACTCTCTCTCTTGAGTCTTGACCATCTTCATCCTCAATCTTTCTCTTCTTATGTCTTTGGGTGCAAGCAATTTAAACTAATTTTCTTTTCTTTCCCCCTACTGAAACTTAAAACTACCAATTATAACGCCACATTCCATTCTCAAGATCATATCTCTTAACCAAAAAAATAAAATAAAAAATAAATTTAGTCCCCCCTTCCTGCTTCATCTTCATCTACATCTTCATCTATCCAATTCATTTCAGTCTCCATCCCACCTATATAGTTCCCAATTCACGCCACAGACATCCCCCGCCCTCCTCGTTTCCCCCATTTCTTTGATTATTAAATTCCATTTCATTATTATTTAATTAATAAACCCAATTCTAGATTTCAAACAAGAGGGAAAGAGGAAGAAGAGGGCATGATTTGCAGAGGGAAGGAGAACAATAATGAGCATGCCCTCTCAAATCTCGGTTCACGTGCTTTCCCTGAGATTTGGCATCTGGGTTTTGCTCGAATCGGTTCGTTGTTGTCTTCTACTTCATCAATTCCGAATTGCCCAATCTCATTTCCGTTTTACCTTATTGGGTCTTCGTTTTTCAGGTTTGGTTGATTGATCGCGTACTTGTTTCTTTCTTTTAGTAGCATTCGGGGTAAGATATTGAATATCCCATGTCTCATTTCTTCGATCGCTTTTGCTTGATCTGATCATTCATTGTTTTGATGTGGTTCCCCCTTTTCTGGGTTTTGATTGGATCCAGGTAAAGTTTCAGAATTTCGGCAATACGAAATATAAAAAAAATAAAAATATATAATTGAAAGAAAGGGAAGATGCAAGCGTCATCGGAGAATGGGAAGCTATTCATCGGCGGGATATCGTGGGACACGAACGAAGACCGGCTCCGAGAATACTTTGGGTCGTTCGGAGAGGTCGTGGAAGCCGTTATAATGAAGGATCGAGCCACCGGTCGGGCCCGCGGATTCGGTTTCGTGGTCTTCGCCGATGGAGCTGTCGCTGAGCGAGTCACTCAGGAGAAACACAACATCGATGGAAGAATGGTTAGTTTCCTTGTTCTTTTTTTCTCTCCTTCCCTTCCTAGTTTAGTGAACAAAACGTTAGTATCAGTGGCGAGTTTGATTGGTTGCAATGGCCGCTGGTGAACTAGTTGGCAAGGAGCTCATTGGATTAGTGACGCAAGAGCAATTGTTCATATGGGAGAATTTCATTGTCATGAGAATGTTTGATGTCAAAATGTACTGAAAACAAGTGTTTAAGTTCCTACAGGGAGAATCTTGTCCTCGTTGTGATTGTACTTGGTTCGAGTTTGAATTAGATTAGTCATGCTAATGATCAGCGTAATGTTCATTGTTTATGAGAAGTTTAATTCTGGGATTTGCTGAAACCAAAAGTAATAGTGAAAGTTTGAGTGCAATGGCCTAATTCGTGTGAACTCGTTGAGAAGAAGCTTTTTCTTGTTCTTCAACTATATATAGGTAGAGTATATAGCGTGGGTGTGATCATAACTGACTTGATCTGGAATCAGAATAGTGATTGAAGACTTGAATGCAAAATGATCGTCGCCATGAAAAAGTCTGATTGGTATTTGCTGAGAAAAGTATTGGCATTTGGTGAAAGTTCAATTGCAAGCAATGCTCTGATCCCCGAGAATGAGTTGATAAGAAGCTATTTTTTGTGTTGTTTAAGTGTCTCTAGGTAGTGTTTTGTCCTTGATTGTTGATTAAAGAACATTGATTTTCCAATGGCACATTGATGTAATTTGACAATTTGATCAGGTGGAGGCAAAGAAGGCTGTTCCAAAGGATGATCAGAACATTCTGCACAGAACCACAAGTAGCATTATTCAATACGGTTCTCCAAGTCCAGGTCGAACCAGAAAAATCTTTGTAGGAGGATTAGCATCCACAGTCACAGAAGCTGATTTCCGTAACTACTTCGAGCAGTTTGGAACAATCACAGATGTGGTAGTTATGTATGATCATAACACGCAGAGGCCAAGAGGGTTCGGGTTCATAACATACGATTCGGAGGAAGCAGTTGACAAAGTCCTCCACTTGAAGACCTTCCATGAACTCAATGGGAAAATGGTCGAGGTCAAGAGAGCAGTCCCCAAGGAGCTATCTCCAGCTGGTCCAAGCCGTGGCACATCTCCACTAAACAACTATGGTCTTGGTAGGGTTAGTAGCAGCTTTCTTACTGGTTACAATCAAGGATATAACCCAGGAACAGTTGGGTATGGGCTTAGAATGGACCACGGAGGAAGGTTCAGTCCTGTTGTTGCAAGTCGAAGTGGGTATGGTCCCAATTTCGGTTCTGGTTACGGGATGGGTTTGAATTTTGAGCCAGGTTTGAGTCAAGCTGCATATGGAGGGAGTGGTGGGAACTTTAACGGCGGGTTCAGGGGGATGATGAATCATCACCCTTATTACATCGAGAGCACAAATAGATTCAGTAATCCAATAGGGTATGATAATGCAGGTAGTAATAATGGAGGAAATACTTCTTTCTTCAGCTCGGTTACTAGGAACATGTGGGGAAATGGAGGGCTTACCAACTCTGCTGGTCTAGATGATGCTTATGTGGGTCATGGAAACACATTTGGCAACCGAAGTATAAATTGGGGTGATGAAGTCAACAACAATGCACCCAACAATAGTCTGAATTTCTCATATGGCGGTGGAGAGAACAGCTTTAGCTTGGGGCCTTCTACAGGGAGCTATGGAGGGGGAAGAAGCAGCAGTGGGAATAACAGTGTGATAAACCCTACTGCTTCATCAGGTGGTGGGTTTGATGGAGGATTGATAGCTGATCATCTCTACGTTGGAGGTGGTGGTGGTGGTTCCGAAGATTATGGAGAACCCGCTTGGCGAGATGGGGGGCTTCCCCTTGGCAGTAATAATACAACTTCAGATGTTGCAGTGAAAAGCCCTTCTCCTGGGTTTGTTGGTGGCTATAGTGTTAATAAAAGACAGACAACTAGAGGTAACAAACTAAGAACACCATCTGTTGAATAAAGATTTCTTCTTTATCGTCTTATGTTGGTGGGTTTCTAATGGGCTTCTTTTTACGGCGATCTTTTGGTTTGAATCAGGAATCGCTACCTAGGTGGATCAAGCTGTTGAAGCTGGTGGAAATTACTGAGTATTAGCACAGATTTTCCCCTACATTGATAAGTATATTTACCATGTTAGTTAAAGAAGGATTTACCATGGGGTTATTCTGGAGATGAACTGTGGAGTGCCCTGTCTCAAGAAGGAAAAGTTGGAAGTTTAAAAGCTTTAGGGATAATACATAGAAGAAGAAGTTATAAGGAAACTATTATGTTATTGTTTTGAGTGCTTTCTAGGGGTTTTCATCGTCATTCTTAGCATTGTTGGTTAATGAGTGAAATGTACATCAGCTTGCGGCAGCCATACAAAAAAAAAAAAAAAAAAAAGGTATTGCTTTCATAGGTTTTCTTTTGTTCTTTATCGTTGGGTTTCCGTTAATGTCTCTCTGTAGCATACCTGGCAGTTTTGTGGATTATTGTCAGGTATATTTTCCTCTATGCTGTATTCCTTATCCCCCTCGGATTGTTTGTATTGTTGAGCTTGGAGCTCTAGTGCAGCTAGAGAGTACAAAACTTGTCTAAAGGATACCCATCTACGGTTCCTCATTAATAAAAATAATATTATTACCAGATTGCTTATATTTTTTATCCGTTCTCTTCCTCCACTTTTTTCTTACTCAATATTCAAACAGAGAAGGCAATCCATTTGGGTCAAATTTTGATCTGTTCATCCCTTTTAGCTATGGATTAGATCAGTACTCCATTTATCAGAGATGATCCTTTCTATTCTCAACTTGTCTTCTTTAGACTTCTTGCAGAAGATCACCCAAGAATTGACCTCCAATGCAATGGATGCTCCTATCAATTCTCGAGGCGGGTCAAGGAGGTCAAATCCAATCAGGGCGGCCTTTACAACCTAAACCCTTAATGTGGGCTTCTAGAATATGCTGAAAGAACAAAAACTTGACAGTTTCCAACATAATTTGGGTTGGTGAACTGACTTTCCTCTGAGTTAAATATGGGTTGTGTTGTTGGCTGTGTCTTGTACCTTCTTTTTGCCGGTATATGATGACTTTCAGTTACTCGATTGCTTGAATGGGGAAAAAGAATGTGGGAAGAGATAATCTCCCATTTGGGCAAGATAGGAGCGAATCACTTATGTTTTGATTTACCGGTGAAAACAATGCTTGGAAGTTTGGAAGATAAAGGGGGTGGGTGATCAAATTCTAACTCAACTTACTTTTCTATGTTTATCTATTTGGCAGCAGATCCTCTCCATAATCTTATGATCAATAATCATGCATAACTTGATATATCAACATCATATAATCATTTATGAAAGGCTTCTAACATTTTTCTCTAAATTTTAATGGCTATATCTCTTTCGTTTTAAGTCTTAATTTTTTTCACAGATGAATCAAATTAATTGTGTCATTCCAAATGATATACACTTTGATATATTTTTGGAATAAAAATATTGAGATATTTAGTACCAATCAATACCATGGTGGTATTGTTTGGTATAATATAAGAGCATACCAAGTGGTATGAACATACAAGACTGTAGAATGGTTGAATACATGATAGTAGAAATATACTAACTGACATTTACAACTTTCAACATTGTGTACCATAAGATAACACCCGTATACCAGGGTGGTATGATGAGGTATTTTTTTTCTCGTATTTTTTCGTAGAAAATTGTAGATCCAATAGATCATGATTAACTCGTTCATTCTGTGCAAAAATTTTCAAATCGACTTAAAACGATGGTGATAATATATGGTATGGAGGTGGTAACAAGTTGTATGCAATTATTTTTGAAATATATTGAAATTGGATCTCATTTTTGTAGATTACAAAAAATTTGTTCCATCTGTGCAAAAAAAAAATTAAAATCCAAGTTAGAACGAAGAAGATAAGAGCCAATTAAGAAAACTAGGGAAAATAAAAAACTTTTAATTCCCTATTCTTCGATATGGACTCTTCTAGTCCCACTCTAAACTAATGGTCCATATTTAGTTATGTATGCACAACCCATATATTTATAGTGAAAAATGGGAAAATTGCAATCCCCATTTCAAACTTTGTGAACTGAGAGTGATTCTAGAAATGTCATTTCGTAATTACGCCCAATTTATCTTTATATACTCAAAGATATTGTTAAAAACCGAACAGGAAAAATTAGGGCTACCGAATCTGGCTGAGTCGCGGACTAGGTCGCTCTCTTTAAGACGTTCGCGGCACTGGCTCGTAATGCGCACAGCAGACTATCAGCCGGTCTCCTCTAGGATAAAACAACCATTCTAATTTTATTGCTCATCGGTTTTGTGCGAAAACCGAAGCTCTATGAATTCACTCTCTCTCGTGTTTCTGCTCTTCTGAGGTGTGTTTAGAGGGTCTGGGACGTCTCCTATTTATAGGAGCAGAAAACCCAGAATATTCCCTCTTTCTTTGAGAATAAGTCACATTTTAATTAGGGAGATAATTACTCCCATAATTAAAATATAATCTATTAAGATAATTATTTCTAATTATCTCCATAATATTCCTTTTATTAATTATCCATCTTAATTTCGTATTATGGGGAAAATACTGGATAATTAATTAGAAATTTCATTATAGCTTTTCAAAGCTATTCATCCCAACAATCCCCCACTTGAATAGTTTTTAACTATCTCTGAGCATCAACAGTTCCATAAGATCGGGCATAAGCTAAGGTATCGCGAAGATTTGAACCTTAGTGTAGTGGTTACACTTTCGATTTCATAAGGGTGACTCGTAGTCTTGAACCCTATCTCAGACAATGTAGCACACCAGATCTTTTCATTGAGTGATATTCTCTCATAGGCCGTGCGTTTATGGCCATGCACGTTATCCCGGTTTAGTGAACGCTCTAGCAACTTTGTGCCTCCAAAATTCCATAAGGAGCGGCCCCACTCCCACATTCACATAGGTGAGTCTATCAGAAGTGCCCCCAAAGTAAAGTACTTCACTCCACATAGAGTATAGATCTCATTAAGAGTATAACTCAACCTCCAAGGCTTTGGGATTCATGCTTCACTATGCATGAACTTTTCTCAATATTACTCATGACTTGTTATTACCCATTGAAACCGTTTCTTGGGATCTCCAGTCTATCGGGTCGGGTTACCATCACTTGTAATCCATGGTTCGGTAGTCATAAGTCTCATACCTCTTTGTGGTATTTTGGACTTTCTCTCTAGCTAGTGCTTTCGTCAAAGGACCAGCTAGATTCTTTTATAATCTCAAGTCCATCCTTTCGTCAAAGGATAAACTAGATTCTCTTTCAAGTGATCAACCCTTACTGATCCAACAGTTAGGGACTCTCTCTTCCAGTACTGTTCTTATGACGAACTTGTCGCCTCTCACCGTTTGTTACGGTTCTATTTAGCAATTCCTATTGCAATGGATCAATAACGGCGGATACGGTCTTTCCCATAAGGGAATCTCTAGTAATGACCCTCTCAATCAACTTTCTTCTTTACTAGCCATTGCTAGTTCTATCATATCTGATTCCATAGTTGATTGAGCCAGAATCGTTCACTTCTTTTTCTTAGACTTCCTAGACACAACTTCTCTATCGATGTTTAAAACATAGCTTCTGGTGATCTTGGAGTCCTCTATAGGGTATTCTAGTCCGCATCACTATACCCTACCAATACAGCAAAACCTTTGATTAAAAATACCAAGGTTTTTTGTTCTTTTAAGGTGTCTCATGACCCCTTTCAATACAATTTCAATGCTTCATACTAGGACATCATGTAAACCTGCCAAATAACCCATACTATATCGGGTATCATGTTTATCAGCTGCCTCCTGCAGACTGTAAATGCTAGTATATTCTAACTTTCTTACACCGTCTTATGTGTTCTTTAAATATTTATACGAGCATCATCAAACATGTATGCAGGTGTACATCTTGTATTTTCCTAGCATAACATTTGTTTCATTCAGATCCTTCACACTCAAAATTCTCAACCATCATGGTTTTTCAATATTGCCATCACGAGTCTTTGTACCAAAGATCGACGTGTCATTCATAATGCAAGTGTCATTCTCAAATTTGTACTAAATGCACTTGTCACTTTCACTTTTAAAACCATGAAAGAGAACCAGTTTATTCATGCCATCGTCTTAGAGTCTATTTCAAATCTTACAATGATTTGTCTAACTATAGACTCCCTAAGCATTTTCAGGAATAACAATCCTATAGGTTGTCCCACGTAGATTTTCCTATCTAAATCACTATTCACAGAAACATGTTTAACAATCCATCTGACGCACAACACTAGCAATCAGAACATACATGGATGTTATTCTACATATGGTGAATAGATAACAAGAAAATTTACAATTTTTCCTTTTCGCTTAAACCCTTAGCTATTAGGCGATCCTTATACTCATAAACTAAACCAATAGGTTTCACTTTTCTTTTAAGAATCCATTTATTACCCATGACTTCATTGCCAAGAGGTAATTCTCAAAGATGCCAAATCTTGTTCGATTCTATCGATATATTACCCAAGGCTTTACAGCCAAGAGGTGCTCTACAAGATTTTAAGTCTTATTAGACTCCAATAATCCCATTTCGTTAATAATGGATTCTCCCACAGATCTGCATCTTTATGAAAGTTAAAAATTCTTGCAGACTTGTAGGATTCTTTATAGGGTGTAAATAGCAAACTTATAACCAAAATCCTTAAGTGATTTCAGGTTCATTTGCTTCTTCTGAGTTCATACTCATCACCCCCACTAGTTATCCATTATTTCTAATAGCAGGCAAGATACCACCCCCACTATTTCTCGATTTAAATGGAATGGCATTAATGGATTCTACACAACAATGAGTATTTTATTTCTTAAACTTATGTGTTCTATTGTTAATAGCACAATCAATAAATCACTCTCATGCTCATCTATATTGCACTGATTCTCAAACTATACCATATGAAAAAGGCATTTCATGACGTTTACATCAAAAGCATGTCAAAAGCATCACATCTTTAATTAGTGCAATCAATAATAATGTGATAAAGCATTTCACATTATTCTCGTTCACCCATTTCAAAATGAATCAAATCCAAAGATTCTGATTCTATAATCACATATTTAAGAGTCATTTCACTTTATCATCATATGCATACTCTCATGACCATGTCCATTAGTGGAGTGAGCAATACTCAACTACACTTTCTTAATAGCATATGTCTTAGTATGTTTCGAGATACCAGCATTCAGCCACTATTCTTCAGAGTTACCAACATGGTTAATCTCTGCTCTTTTGTCAATCATCACAGCCACCAATTCTTCTCTTCAATCAAGTTAACACTAGAACAAGTGTTATACTTGTTCCTACACTTTCATGTCATATGACCTAATTTCTCGCAACTATTGCAGAGAAATAAAGCATCATTCTTAGAGGATTGGCCGATGATCCTTTAGTTACCACGAATGGTACCATTTTAATTGGTATGGATCTGATTCGATTTGCTATGCTGATTCTTGAACCTTATTAGGGTTTGGAAACGTACAAATGGTTCTCATAGTACTCACAAACAGTACTTCTAATAAATATTGACATATAACCCATTCCACTAGCATATTTACTACCGAATAT